CTGTGAAAAAAGGATTGCCAATTGTTAGTCCCATATTTATGAATTACAATATGCCGAGCATAAACAGTTAATGTACAAGTATAAACAAAGTTTAATATTTCCCGATGATGTTATATCTATCGTAAGCTGCAACATCAAGATTTATCTCCTTATCAGCTAATATTTTGTTATGATTATTTATATCGCAGCATTTTGTTTTTTTATACACACTTTTTCGTATTTAGGTAAGTGAACAAATAAACAACGCCCACAGCATGTTTTATGATAAAGGACCCATTTAAATCGAACATACTATCTAGCAGATAACGCTTAACAATGCAAGATTGCTTATCAAGACAGCTCCTTATGGACGCGTGAACTCGGTAGTCATTACGAATCCTAATTCCGCAAAATAAGATATAAAATAATCTGGCACTATATATTTGGAAAATCAAAGGCATCGATTTTAGGCAAAGCATGGATTCATAACCGTTTCTTTTTGTTCCCTGTGGAAAACTCTTTCAGTTTCTAATATCAGCTACCTTTACTTTGCTTAAATCCTTATATACCCCCTTGAGAAGTGCAAATACCTTGGGTGTATGTGCTCCCGGCCAGACTAAATTATGAGTCTCCTTTGGGTAACATGATTCAAGTTCTAAAGGCTTGGCACTGTCACATAGCAGCGAGGGCCACTGATGGAAGGGCAAGCACGCACGTAATTTTAAGCGAGTCTCTCCTCGAGTTATTGCCTGTAACTTTTTTTTTCTTTATATTCAGAGTATATCTATTTGCCTGTATGCGTGATATATATACATATCTATATATACATACATACATACACACACACACACAGGAACATAAATAAGCGAATAAATAAACAAACAAACAAATAAAAGAAATAATAAAATAAATAAATTAATAAATATACATATATCAGTGGTTTCCTCCTTCTAACTGAATTCGTTTTTAAATTTTGAAGATCATAGCTAATGACCCCTTCCATCTAAAAAAAAATCAAACCCTAACTTCACTACCCCATACATTCGAAAGGACCTCCCGCCCCGTCTCGCCATTTGCATGATGCCGCCACTCGCCGCGGAGGAGCATGCGCAGTGACGTCACGAGTTCACACGGTACAGGTTGTGAGTGGAAAATTACCGCGCCTTTGTAAAGCTTCGTGCACTATGACATTTTCTCGATTCTTTTTATAGCATATAATTGTTTCATGTATTTCAGATATTTCGAAAAAGTCCTTCGGTTAAATTTACCATACGATGCTATAATATCGTACGCAAGGGCAACTTTCTTCCTGTTTATCATGTTCCACATTTTTTCACTCTGGACGCTATCAGCTACTAAGGGAAATAAGCACTGCATATCACACTATCGGACAGCCACAACGAAAAGTGAGAAAACAAATCTAACTCATGACCGATAACGTTCAGGCATAGCGCATCCACCACTGCATGAATGTCCTTCTTAAACCGACAACCCCCCCCCCACCACTTCATCTTTTTAAAAAACTTTAATCGAGTTTATCCCCTCCAAAAAACAACATCATTATAACATTCTTAATGCACAATCATGTACATCTCATTGTAATACAATGAAAAACCATCAAAATGAACAAATGCAGAAATACACACACAACGCTTCTGCCGGCTTGTTCATTTTATCGATCAGAAAGACAGAGACAACAGCAAGGAAATTTCCACTGCTGCACGACACTTCAGTATGCATATTTTATTTTTTTCTTGCACAATGTGACGTCAATGTGAATAAAATATTGGTTACCATTAAATGTAAGCCTCAAACAAATCAGATAACTTGTAGTGATATGATTAGATATGGTGCCATGTGGTCTATGGACAACAAATAAATATAAATATATATTAAATTTATTCTGATGTATAATTTAAACCTACAGGAAGTGAAAGAATTATTTTTAGAGTTGTGCCAGGAAGTGACTTTTAAACAACAGTCACAAGCAATCAATATTAACAAGTAACACTAGAATTCACCATAACCAACACTATCGAGAACCTCAGTCGATAAAAATAACTTGTCACGAAGAAGGAAATCAAGAAAACAAACAAACAACGGTAAGTCCTCCAAAACAGGGCTAACCCGAACGGAACTTTCCACAAAAGCTAATTCAACACGTGACTAATCATCCTGTTGGGCGCCCAGTCACAGTCAGCACAGGAAACAGGAGCCAGCCAGTTGCTAAATCTTCTAAGGCTTACATTACAGCTTATATCGAAGTGTCAGCGTGCTATGAGTCACGTATTGCCCGCCTTCCTATTTGCCTCGGCCTTTCACGCCCAGTCCCTGACCTATGCTAAGTGATCCTTGTTTAAAGGCAAATTGGGATTTATTCTTCAATGAATTTTGGGGATGACAGGGTATCAAGTGATTTCTACTTGTTAAGAGATTTAAAAGTTTAGTTTATACATTGCTATATGGATGCTAAGCTTCTATACTGGTGTCACGCTTGCCGACGTCGAGTCGATTCAGTATA